CTTAGGGAAGGGAGACAACTTGCTTCGCAGCCAGTTATTGACACAACCAAAACTTAAACCCAAGTCTCTGCAACCCGAAGCACTGCAGCTTCGGAGAGGTACCAAAGGATCAGCACTTTGGAGTCGGAGCTAAATTAAGTCCCAGCTCCTCTTTTTCCTGGTGTATGACCTCAAGTAAGTTACTCGACTTCTCTGGGCTTTAGTTGCCTCCTCTGTAAAATGGACATAATAGAAGTGACCTTATAGGGCTTTCAGGATTAAAGGAGCTACAGAGTGTGCTTAGCATATTGAAGTGTGCCAAGTGGGAGCCACCCCTCCTACCCTGGCCCTGTGATGGCCTCCAGTGCCCACAAGCACATCTGCACGCACACACACACCCACTCAGCCTCCCACTGCCTCCCCTCTGCAGCAGGCAGCCAGCATGTTTTAGTCTGCTGGCTGGAGCAGAGGGGGTGTGGTGGCTCTAACTGGGGTTTTGGTTGAGAGGCTGCCACTGCTCTTGATTAATTTCCCCTTCTCCGAACAACGTCGCCAGCTTCTTGCGCCCGTCCTTTGTAATTACGCATTTCCCCCCTAGGGTGTCTAGCATTGGGCTGTTTTTGCTTTCTTCCCTTTATTCCTGCCACTGTGCTTTTCCGGCTTCGCCTGGGACCAGCCAGCCCAGTGCCCGACTCCTTCTGAGCTGCTTTGGTTTTCCATGCCATGCGCTCACCCCCAGGCCTGCCTTGCCCCCACCAGTTTCTATTTTCCCCCAGGCTCCACTGACGTTCCGTGGTTTCTCTTGGCCTGGGCTCAAGCCTGGTGTGACACGTCTGGTGTGGCCACCCTCCCCTCCCACATGGGTCGGGCAGGCAGCAAGTGTGTCCAGGGAGAGGATAGCAGAGCTGGGCACTGCCAGCCCAGGTGCCAAGCCAAACAGCTCACGCGCCACGTCTGACTCCGTACCTTGACCCTGGAATGGTGGACTGGCCTGTCCCATCCTCTACCCCAGCCCCTCTCCAGACTCCCCCAAACCTACTTCCTACAGCCCTGTGTCTGTCTGGCTCCAGCGGGTAAAAAGTAGACTGCAGGACCGAGCCTTCCCTGAGGCTCCCAGAGTATCCACAAGAGTATGCTCGGGAGCCCTCCGTGCTCGAGATGAGGAGCAGCCTTCTCCAGGGACACTTGCCCCAGGGTGCATCTGGCCTGTGCTGGGGAGGAACAGTGCACCCCGGGGAGCGCAGGCACAGGTGTGTACCCTACATGCCTCCCGACAGGAAGCAGGACATCTCTACTTGCTAACACTCTGGGAAGCGGAAGTCACCTGATGATGGCTGCCATAGTGTGCCCTCCCTTCCTGCATGTGGAGCTCAACAACTATGGGGTCCCCTGCCTTCCCTCCTCACCAGGGCTGACCTCAGACAGCCCCTGGTCTTGTCTGCTTCTGTTTCCTGGTCTGCTTACAGACAGAGCAGCTTGAAGAGGGGCTTTGTGTGGGGAATGGGACAGTGTATGTAAAACAGCCCCTGTGGGGCTGGCACGCAGGGTGGTCCACATACTGTCTTTTGTCCCCACACCTGTCCTCAGCCTTGCAGCCTGAGCCTGGTTTTCTGTCACTAAAGTGGAGGGAACTGGAGTAGGTGGGGCAGCACCTCACTGTGAGGTCTAAGGTAAACCCACCTTGAACGGTGCCACCACCAACTTCCGAAAGCTCAAGACAGATACCTACACAGAATCTATGAGTTGGGTTATGCGTACCGCTCTTCATTACACACACACACCCACACCCACACACACACCCACACACACTGATGTCCTATAGGCAGAGCAACAAAGCTTCCAATTTAGTTCGCGCTGGAAGTTTGGTCACCCTCTAGGGCTCATGTTTTATTTACAACTCTTCCAACTTGCTGCTCGTGAGCACTTGCCATGTGTCAAGCTCTTAATGACCTGATCCCCCACCCACGCCATGCCAAAGCCAGAGGACTGAGTGTCACTTTCACTTCCCCTCTCCCAACTCCCACATCCAGTCAATGCTATTACTACTAATAATTGCAGTGGTGGCAACAAAAGTTCCCATTCTGTCTTTTCTGTACATTGACTCATTTCATCCAATTCTGTTGAGGTACATAGAGTCACTCCATGGGACTCCAATGCTTTGAAACTCAGCGAATGTTGACTGAAACATTTTGTCCTGTACTGGCCGTTTGTTTGGTACTTAACACACAAGATAGAACTCATTGGTGTCAATTGCTTCATGACATGCCACGCTTTCCAGCCCAAACAATTTTTTGGTACTCATCGTGCCCAGCAAACACTAAGGTAGCACTGTAGATACCAGCGTCCCCTCCACTTGGCTGAAAAGGAAACAGAAGCACAGTGGTGGGGTAACCTGCCCCAGGTCTTCCAGCTGGTGAGGGAAAGAGCTGAGATTTGAACCCAGGGAACCTGGCTGCAGAGACCTAATGACACAGCATCTTGATGTCCCGAGTCCACCAACATTTCCCTTCACCGCTGTCCCTGCCTTTCCTTCGGCCACTATCCTGCTTCCTCCATGCAGGGGACCTTCACCGCCCCCCCACCCCCGGCTGTCCTCTGAGACTCCTGCCAAGCTGATTTTCAAAGGCACAAACCCTATCACCCTGCCCTCCTGCCAAAAGCCCTTATAGGGCTCCCCACTGTGCAGAGCATACAGTCCAAATCCTTAGTAAGGTCCTTGCCTCCTTGCGGCCATGCCCATGTGCTAATTCCAGATATCTTCTCATCACTGCCCTTCCCACCAGTCCACCCAAAACTCACAGTTCAGACAATCTGCGTGCAGATTCTCTAGTGTTCTCTTGATTCTACATTGTCTCTGCGCTTTGCGGACATTATTCCCTCTGCCTGTAACGTCCTTTGGGCCTCTCCGCCTGAATGACACTTCCTGATCCTTCGAGACTCAATCCAGGCATTGCCATCCCAGTAAAGCCTCAAACACATTGGTAAAACGTATGAATTTATGACCGGTTAGATGAGCAATATCACAACAACCCTGCCTCCCACCACAGCTTTGCGGAGCCTTCTTGTTGCAAACCTTTCCCACTTAACATGTATTTCATCTCCATGGCACCCTTGTGAGGTAGGCAGGAAAGATCACAAGTCCTGTCTGAAAGATAGGCAGCCAGAAGCCCAGAGAGGGAAGCCAAGTTTTCTGACTAGCAGGTTGCTGCTTTCTTCACAGGATGGAAAGAGGCAAAATCCGCTCAGCTGCCTTATACCGATAGGAGTGGGGAACAAGGCCTCAAGCCCTGGTCAACCAACTGACAGGGAGTAAAGGGGCTGGAGTGGCTGCTGCTCATCTAGTCCCCAAGCCTCAGGGGTTGCCCACTTCCCCAGTGCGGCAGGGAAACTGCCCGTCTAGCCCAGGAGCTCCCTGCCTCGTCTGAAAGCAGGATCTTGAAATGTTTTAAGCAAAGGATATGATTCATAATTTAAAAAATAAAAATAAAAAACCAACTTAACCTCAAAATAAGTGCAAAGAAATCCAATGAAAGCCCCATTTTTTCCCTATGAAGTCCTCTTGATGCTTTGGATGAAGTGTCGACGCTTCCCCTTCCCCTCAACACACACACACACACACACACACACACACACACACACACACCCCTCTTACTTTGGGCCGCCTGCGCTCTTTGCTGGTGCCCTAAGCAAATGTTTGGTCAGCCCTGCCGGTGGGGAGCAAGCACGGGCTCTCCTGGCCTTTGGTCTCCTGACCCTCACCCCTACCCTGGCCCCCAGGGGCCCACTGGGCTGCCTGGTCCTGTGCTGTGGTGAGGTTGGCTGCAAAGAGAGGCACTGGAGCCAGAGCTCTAGGCGCATGGGGGTGGAGGGCCAGAAGGTGAGAACAAGGGAAGTCTGGTTCTGCCCATCAGGACAATCAGGAAGCTGGGATGGGGGGTGTCAGGGTGCAGACCCAGAGCCGGAGGCCAGAGGATGCCCAGGGCAGCTTCAGGGCAGGAAAGCCCCCCACATGTGGTTCAGTAGCTGTGGGGCTCCACGGATGAACCCCTTTTACTTTATGGTAGAATGATATAGGGAGCAAGGCTGCCTTCCCAGCCCCCTCATCGTTCCACTTGAGGAGAGAAAACAGTTTAGAGTCCTCCGACTTCCACATCCATGCTCTGGCCAAGACCATGGCAGTGTCCATGGCCAAGGATACCGCATGCCCTTGTCCCATAGACTCCTTGTGCCTCGGTTTCCCTCGCTGGCCAAATGCACTGGCCTAATCCTGTCTTCCAACTTTGATTTCCCCCCAAATCCGTTTGCATTCTCCCATCGATGTAGATGCACCTGTAAATTCAGCTGGGCCCCACAGGCACGTGCGAGGCGCCCATCACATTCCAGACCCATGCTGTGCACCCTGTGAATAAAAGCCAACACCTGTCCCCAGGACCGCACCTGCAGTTCAAGGGCCATCAGCCTAGAGCACCTGCTCCTGCCTCTGCCTACAGGCGCAGTTTTGCTGTCGTGGTGCCCCTGCTGGGCAAAAGCGGAACTGCAGGGTGCCTGGAGGGGTGGTTCTGTCATGAGTGGCCTGAGTCCCCAACAGCAGTCCCACCCTGGTGTAGGGGAAGTGGGTGTGTGAGCCCAGCCTCCCCTCCACCCACAGAGCCCTGGGGGCCAGAGCAGCTAGGTGGGGGAGACGGCCCCTTCCCGACACCCCACACCCCAGGCTGCAATGGCAGAACGCCAGGTGCCTGGGGACTGCTGCCCTGGTGGCCCTACCTAGGGAGGTCCTATTCCCACAATCCTCTGGGGGAGGCCTTCTTGCCCCTAAGATGCACACTCAAGTGTACACATACACATGCTGAGGATGACAACAAAACCCCTGAAGCAACCAAAGCCAGGAGCAGCTTCCTGTCTAGAGCGTGGAGCAGGAGACAGGGGCCTGCAGGAGAAGGGGGAGCGGAGGCAGGGGGGTCCCGGCTGTGACTCAGGCCCAAGGAAGCTGGTGACTCCCAGGACAGCCCTTGGTGACTCACAGAGACTGCAGGCTCGGCAGCTCCCACAGTGCCTCGGCGGGAATTCCTCCCAGCTGGTTGTTCTGCAGCATCCTAGGAGGAACAAGAAAGGGCTTTGAGGACCCCATGGTGGGTAGATCTTGGGGTTGAGGGAAGGACTGGAGAGCTAATCTCATGAACCCCCACCCCATGTTAGACCCTCTCTCTTGCTGTGGCTTCAGAGCCCTAGGAAGAATCCTGGTCCAGCCCCTACCCTGTTAGGAGGGCTCCTAGGATGGGACAAGAGTCAAGAGAATGAGGAAGATAAAGGGTTGAAGGTGCACTGGGGAGCAGTGGGGGTCAGAAGTCAGAATGCACGAGGTTCTGCTAAGTTGGGCCAGCAAGCACCTGAAGAAATGAAGGTTTTTCCTCCCCAGACCCCCGTTTCCTTTCCATTTAGCTGAGATGCTAATGGTTTCTTTGTGGGAGGGGAGGACATGGATGAGGGTAAGGCTATGCCTAGGGTGCCAGGGCTCCTGACAAATGTTTTCTGGCACTGTTATCCATAGAAGCAATTTGAAGTGCCCCAGATCCTTCGTCAGCCAGTCCTGGTGATCCAATCTCACATAATCACACACAGATAAGCCCATGCTGACCAGTGGGAACGATCCACTTACTAGGCTCCCCTCCTGGAACTGGAGCCTGGCCACAGGACGCCAGGGTGACCCCACAGGCAGGAATCCTGGAGCTCCGTGGGGCCCCTTGAAATCCCATGTGCAGGGCAGAATTGACCCTCTGCCCTGCTCAGCACCTCTACCCTTCCAGCCAGCCTGACTTCTCTCATCTAAACGGTGAATATTCTTCACTCCTGACCTTGGTGGGCCACCTCGGTTCTCACACCAGGGCCTCAGCTTTCTCAGGGCAAGGATCCAAGAGAGCCGATTGCTGGGAAAGCATGAGGGGCTTGGCTGCTCACAGGTCCTCATGAGGCCTGCCCCACAGGGCCCACAGGCTGTGTCTGGTCACCACACAGCCGAGCCCACTTCCAAAGAGGAGCCCACTTCCAAAGAGCAACCCACGTCACCTCCAGGGCCCTCCCACCCCCTCCTCTGCTGAATCCCAGACAGAGAGATCTAGAAAGACCTTTAAGGCCTCAGGATTGTGCCTCCTCCCCGACCCCCACACAGGTGCTGTGGTGTCTTCACCGGGACTTGATCTTCCCCAGCAGCAGGGGACTCACTGCCATGGCAGGGAAGTCTGGCCATCAGGAAGTCCTCTCCTTTGTGCGCCAAAACCAGCAGGCTGGAGTTCAGCATGGTGATCGATGGCTTTGCCCCAGACCTGCTCTCCTCAAGGTTCCTGCCCCTGTGCCTCCTGCACTGAAGTGCAATTGGGTTATACAGGCTGGAAGAACCTTCAGAAGGGAGCCGCCCTTTGTTTTCCAAGAGGAGACCGTGCCCTGAGCTACAAAGCAAATTAATGCTTGAATCAATCAGGACCAGGATCTAAGCCTTTCTCTCAGACCAGTGCTGTTGAGACCGAATTCACTATGCCTTTTGCTGGTCCCACTTCTGCTTTTAGCCCTGACTGCCTGTTAGAGTCATCTGGGTTTTTAAAATCCTGCCTGGTTAAATCTCCTGAGCAGTCTCTGGTGGAGGAATATTAGGCTTTGGAGGGACTCTGATGTGAACCTTGCGTTTGACAGAAATCTAGTTCTCAGCACTACTCCCCTGAGTGCACCGGGGAGCTCTGGCCAGAGAGCATCTGGGGGCGGGGCCATGGCTGCCACAGTGAGAAGGGCCAGGGCACCAGAGAGGCGGCTGAGGTTCTCAGAGCCCTTCCTTGTTCTGTGGAGGGGCTGTGGGGTTACCAAGGTGGTAGGAGGGACACAGCCGGAGCCCCCCACCCGGCGCACTCCAAGCCCTTCATCTGCCTCATGGGTCAGGCTTCTGCACAAGGGGTGTGAGGTTTGGCTTTAGTTTTCTTTTTTCTTCTTTTTTCTCTTTCTTGACTTCTTCCTTTCTTCCTTCCTTCCTTCCTTCATCTTTTCTCCTTCTTTCCTTCCTTTCTCCTTCCTCTCTGCCTGTCTCTAGGTCTCTCTGTCTCTGTCTCTTCTCTCCTCTCCTCTCCTTTTCCTTTCCCTTCCTTTCTCCTCTCCTCTTCCTCTTCTTTTTCTTCTTCTTTTTTTTTGAGGCAGGGTCTTGCTATGTAGTTCAGGGTGACCTTGAACTCACTATGTAGCCCAGGCTGGCCTCAAACTCCTGGTGATCCTCCTGCCTCAGCCTCCCAAGTGCTGGGATGACAGGCGTGTGCCACACCTGGCCCCTTCTCCTCCTCCTTCTCCTCTTCCTCCTCCTTCCCTCTCTCTTTCTCTCTCTCTCCCCCTCTCTCTCCCCTCCCCCCCATTGAGCTACCTTCTCAGCTCCAGTATTAAATTTCTATAGTTTACAATGTTGGGAAATTGATTCCAGATCCTCCATTTTAAAGGTAGAAAGACAGAGTCTCAGAGAAAGGGCAACTGCCAACTGCTCTGGTGAGGCACTGATCTGGCCTCACATCTTCCAGGGGCAGAGGAGGCCGATTTCCTGTCTTCTAGCACGAGCTGCCTCGGTGGGTCTCCCTGCCCGCCTGCTTCCACGAGGCTCAGTGTCCAGCGTTCCCGTGACTCAACCACCCCCCACCCCCACACCCCCATCGGCTCAGGTTAATTCAGTTCCTCAGCGCCCAGGCAGCCTCTACTTCAGGCCAGGCCTGGCTGCTGTCCGGCCAGGTGGAGAATAAACACGGGACCGGGAGAGTTGGGGGGTCTCCCCGAGACAGCGGCTCCCTCCCGCTCCTCTGTGGCCCCCAGCCAGGGCCGCAGATGGGACAGGCCCCAGCTCAGAAGCAGCAAGCTGCCTTTCTGGAGCTCTAGCCTTTACCAAGTCAGCAGGCCAGGAATCCTCAGCCACAGATTGCAGAGGTGCTGGGCTCTGTCCAGGAGCAGGGACAGAGGCAGGTGGGGAGGAAGCCCTGGACAGCCCGCCCTGCTCCCACATCTAGCTCTCATGAGAAGTGGCTGAGCCCCAGCAGCAGTCTTTCTAGCTGGGGCCATAGCAGCCTGATACAGAGAGGGCACAAACTCTGTCTGATCGCAGAGGAGGGAGGGCCAAGGCCTGGGCCTGGTCTGCCCTGGAGTGGGTGGGCATGGAGTGGGTGGTCTCTAGGGAAAGAGGCCTGTGAGGAAGGGTGGGCTGTGAACCTTTGGTGATCAAGACCCAGAGGCCTAGCAGACACACGCCATGGCCTCAAGCTGGGCATTGAGACACAGGAGCCCGGGCCATGGCTGCCCCTGCCCTGTAAAGCTGCACAGGGTAGGGGCCCCAGAGGTCGAGGCGTTGATCCACAGGTCTGAGGCAGCAGGAACAGTGGCTTCCCTTAGGTCCACGGTGAGTGGGTGGTAACTGTGCCTTTCCCCGCCTGTGGGACAGGTAGGAGTAGGGCTGACCATCCCCATAATAGGGCTGCAGCGTGCCATAACCCCACCCCGAGCCAAGGATCCAGAGATGGAACCCAAGGCCTCATGCATGCTAGGCAAACACTACCACCGACCTACACTCCCAAGGCCTTTTTATTTTTATTTTGAGATAGGGACTCACTAAATTGCCCAGCTTGGCCTTGAACTTGAGACCCTCTTGCCCCAGCCACCTGAACGACAGGGATTACAGGCACACACCACCAAGCACAGCTAGGGCTGGCTCTCTGGGTCCATGCCCAGTCAGAGCCCATGGGCTCGGGGGCTTGGGGAGCCCTCAGAGCAGAAAGGACCAGAGTGACACCTCCAGGGTAGGTGTGAAGAGGGTGTGAATACACGAGGGGAAGGATCAGAGAGGGAACCCCCTTTCTTCTATCCTTTGCCCTGGGGGGAGGAAGAAGGGGCAGAGTGAACCCCCGGGACAGCCTGGCTTCCGGGAAGGAAGGCACCACTCTGAGAAGGGTCCGGCACACGGAGATGGTGGAGAGCAGCTAAGGTGTCCAAAGAGGCCCTCGGCTGAGGGCTGCGGGGCTGAGGGCGGGCCCCACTGCTCTGTTCTTTCAAGTCTGAAAAGGAAGTGATGGAAGGACCTGCCACAAGGAGAAGAAACCAGACCCAGAAAAGATCCCAGGCCTGGGATGCGCGTGCCATCCTCCACTTTGAGGTGTTTGAGCAAGAGGTTGTTCCAGGGCAGCCAACTGTGCCTCCCGGAGAGTGATGGGAGGAGAGAGGCTCCTCCGACAGGTGGTCTCCAAGGTGGGACAAAGTGGGGTCACTGGCGGGGGGGCACCCCCTGCTGCAGTCCCTCCTGCTGCCCTCCTCACCGAGCCAAGGTGCTGCCGGTGGAAAGGGGCGGGCCGGCAGCCTGCGGTTTCTCCCGAGCTTTGATTTATTGCCCAATGCAGGCAAAGAAGAAAGGGAGGCTCATCTCTAAGCCGCAGTCTTAGGAGCGGGACGTGAGCCTCACATCTTCCGAAGGCTCGGCTCACACAGCCCGGCCCTCTAATCCGGGCGCAGGTCTGAGCCTGCCACTGGGGCACAGACAAGCCACCAAGCAGGCCGCCTGCACCACGGCGCCTGGTCCCAACTCTCCCCACCTCCGGGGCAGCAGTGTTTATGGAGAGCGAGACCCAGGTGGGGCCGGAAGGAGGAGGACTGGGGCAGGGAGAGGGGCAGCAGGGTCTGAGCGGCGCAGAGGAGCGGAGACAAGGGACTGAGGCTGGGGGCAGAGACGGGAAGGACCTCGGGCGGAGCAGGGAGGACGGGAAGGACAGGGGCCAGAGAAGCTGGGAGTCAGACGGGAAGTCGGAGAGGGACACTGGGGCTCAGAGGCGCCAGGGACCAACAACGTGGGAAAAAGAGCAAGTGCGTAGTCAGGGACTGGCCGGAAGCCTGAAGCTCATGGGCCATGGAGGAAGGGCCACCGGCTGCCCCAAGGATGAAGCAGTCCCAAGCCAGGGCCACATAACTGCACTTCACACTCTTCCCACCCTCTCAGCCGGATGCTCTTGTGCAATCAACAGCCCACCCAACCATACAAAGAAGACCTACAAACATCGTCAGGACTGAAGAGCAGCGGAGCTGGAGAATGCCTCACCACTTTAAGGAAACCCCCAAATGGTTATTCTGTTGCTTCAGAATAAGCTCTCAAAATCCTTATTTTCTTCCCAAACTCATCCCTTGAGTGGTGCGTCCTCTCCAGGAGCCTCTCCCACCCAGCCCGAGACTCTCTGTATCCTCTTTCTTCTACCACTCTCCACCCTCACTCATCACGGGGACAGATGGATCGTGGATTGGGGTGAAAGAAGATGGTGCCTCCACCTTCCCTCCTCTAAAATGGGTCAACAGTTCAGTGGTAAAGGGAAGCCAGGTGCAACCGCACAAGGTCCTCAACAACTCCCACTTGTCTTTTGCTTCAAAGGAAAGCTGAAAGGGCTGGGAGGAGGCGGCCTGGAGTCTGAAGGAGGGCCTGTGTTTGCCATGAGAACAGGTATTCAGGGCTAGGGACCCAGAGATCAAGGTTGAGCCTAAAGAAAATCCGTGTGGATCCCTCCTCTTCAGCAGCGGTCTTCCCCTTCTGTAGGCTAAGGGGTCTCAGGGCCATCGACTGTGCTGATGGAGATCATTCGCAGTAGGGAATAAAGACGCTTCACTCCCCTGCACGGTTGCCGTACAGCCTGGTACAAAGAGCTTGTCGCCGACAAGATGAAAGCCAAGAGACAGCAACAGCAAGTGCAGTGAAGAGTGGAGATGAGGGGATGAGAAGCACACAGACAGGGAACTCAGTTTGGGCTTACAAACTTCCACTGGACCACGATTCTCAGTGCGGGCCCTGGAGGTAAAAGGGGTTGACTCTACTTACAGGATTTTCAGGCTGTAGAGGCCAGAGAATGCTTGTCCCGGGATGTGGGAGAGATGGTTCCCCGAGAGACGCCTGGAAGTGAGAGACAGTGGTCAGCGAGGGGCAGGTTACCCAGAGAGAAGGTGAGCTCTGTGGTTCTGAGCTCAGGGGTTAGGCGAGGGGAGCCAGGGCAGTAACTACCGTTTACTGAGATCCACAGCCCAGTAGCACTTCACGTGCCTCATCAAAATTCCCGTAACAACCCTGCAAGGCACCTATTACGGTTTGAATACCTCTTATTTGAAATGCTTGAGACCAAAAGCATTTGGAATTTCAGACTTTCTTCAGATTTTGGAAAATTTGCAGATGTATAATTATCTCTCTCAAGGATGGGTCCCAAGCCTGAACACAAAATCCACCGTGCCTCGTATACACAGGCCCTGAAGGTGATTTTACACAACGCATTTTTTGTTTGTTTTTTTTGCTGGGCATCGCAGCCAGGACCTCACACAAGCTACACATGTGCTCTATAACCGAGCTGCGCCCCAGGGCACTGCAATAATTCACTTCTCTGGTGTTCTAACTCCCACCTGACACATGTGGTCAGGTGCAGAACTGTCCACTTAGGGCATTGTGCGAGTGCTCAGAAAGTTTTAGGTCACAGTTTGGGGTTCGGGGTACCCAACCCGTATTAAGCCTAAACTTCAGGTGGGGAAAGTGAGGCTGGGAGGGGTCAGGCCCTGGCCCTCCAGGTCACAGAGGTGGTGGGGCAGGGCAGGTGTCCTCCTCCAGAGCTGAGCTTCAAGGCTCACAGCCACTGCACAGAGCGCACTGTCCCCTGGGCTGACCTGAGTCGCCCCAGCCTGTGCTGGATTACTGCACCTGTCACAGTGGACGGGTGGGATGCAGCTCACCCCAGTAATTCAGGGGCATTAAAAAATGGACGCTGAATTAGTCCAATGTTCTGGTCTAATTGTTACTACGTCTCTTGTAGAATGATCAATTCTAAAAAGAACAAATGAATGAAATATATTCAGCGCCCACACTCAAGGCCAACACCTGAGCATACAGTTTGATATGGATGGCTCAGAGACACTCTGCACCTCCAGAGTCCCCATGAGCATCAGATGCTGCTGGGAGGCCTGCCGATGTGGAGAAGCCAGTTTTAAAAACCATCTCAGAGCTAGGCATGGTGGGACGTGCTTGTAATCCTGCCACTCTGGGAGGCTGAGGCATGAGCATCCCACTAGCTGGGCAATTTGGCAGCTTGGTGAGACCCTGTCTCAAAATGAAAAACAGAAAAGTCTGGGAATGTAGGTCAGTGTTGAAAGCCTTGAGTAGAATCCCTCAGTAGTAAAGCACATGCTTAGTAAGCACAGGGGCCTGGGTTCCATTCCCAGCATGGCGGATACATAGATTCTCCAGGAAAAGTCTCTTTATTTGACATTTGTTGTTTAGAAAATAACTGTGTGGAAAGGGATCGTGATAACGAGGTCCCCGAGCTTATATTCTGTAGCTGTTCCCTGGATGTGCCCTTTAGGTGGGGCCTTTAAAATAGGAGATGTAGAATCAGCCTGGAGCTCTCAGGTTGTGCCCCTGTCACCTGCCCTGAGCACCCTGTCCTTTGCTCTTGCTTGTCATTCCCACCCAAGTGAGTCACCTCCGCTGAAGGGCAAGCTGTCCACTTCCTTTATTTTATTTATTTATTTTTTAGACAGGATCTCGCTATACAGTCCGGGCTGGCCTTGAACCCACTACGTAGCCTAGGCTGGCCTCAAACTCGAGGTGATCCACCTGCCTCAGCCTCCCGAGTACTGGGATTACAGGCGTGGGCCACCACAACTGGCTTCAAAATGGCTCCTCCTCCTCCAGGAAGGCTTCCCTGCCCCCTGGCGGCCCTGCCCTCCTGCACAGTGTCCAGATGCCCTGACACTTGGTGCCACATCCCCCTGCTGACTACACTTTTGAGGGTCCTCAGGGTCACAAACAAGCTCCCCGAGGGCAGCAGGTGGAACCAAACTTACTTTCCACACAAAGGGGCCCACAGGACCTGGCCGCCACACCCAGCTGTGGCCCTTGGGCTGATGGACTCCTAACTCCAGCGGGACAGGCTGGGCATTTGGGACCAGAGTGAGGTGGGGACATCCACCAAGGGAGTAGCAGGGCCAGGTAAGAGATAGGGTTGAAGGCGTTTTCGGGGTCAGCAGCCCACAGTTTGCAGAGCTTAAGCAAAGTTTTCCCCAGGAGCCACGGTGGTGTGAACAGAAGGGTAAACAGGGCTGGGAGGTGTTGGAAATAGAGCGAGGATGAAAGTGAGAGCAGTGTCAGAGGGATGAGGCCTCCTGGGGTGGACAGGTGGGGCACACACTGTTGCTGAGCAGAGGTTTACTCCTGAGCCCTAGGAATAAGACCAGACTCCTGGATTCCAGCCCGCTAGGGACACTGGGAGAGGGAATAGCCAGGGAGCACTCTGGGAGAAGTGGATCTGGAAAGGAAAGGTCTAAGAAATGGACCCTTCAGGCTATGGAGAATCACAGAGGCCCTGGAACTGGTGGGGTGCTTTTGGGTGTTTTAGAATGGAGGGAGGAGATCTGCAGTTAGGGGCTGGTTCACCTCTAGCAATGGGGGTGGCTAGGTCTGGAGCAGTGGGAATAGAGAATAAGGGGAGGTGAGGGACATCTCAGAAGAACCAACAGTTCTTGGGGAGGGGCTGGAGGCTAGACACAGGGGCCCACAGCAGCTAACAGGCGACTTTGGGGAGAGGTGCGACACAGACATCAAGAGGGAAACATTGGTTTGTGGGGGGCGGGTGACAAAAACTAGATTTCAGACTACATGGCCCAGCACTGCCACCCAGGGTCACTAGCAGGTCAGAGACCAGCTGAACACCTGACTGTCAAAAGAGCCACCTCCCAAGCCGCTTTCTTCCCCTTCCAGTTCCACCCTCCTCCAGGGGAGCCCTGGAGCTCCAGCTGGTACAGGTGGCCAGAGCTTTGCCTCCCACCCTTGTTCCCTGGGGCAATGACTCACAGCTCCTCCAGGAAACGCAGGTGCCGGAAGAAGCCAGGCTGAAGCTCGGTGAGGTTGTTCATGCTGAGATCTCTGCATAGAAAGAAATTGCCAGGGACTGTGAGCTGCCCGTCTGTACTGCCTGTGCCAGTCTGTTCTACTCAGGACCAGCCACTGCAGGGGACCCCAGGGTCCTACCACACTGCACCCTAACTCCACAGCCAGTCTGAGACTGCAGCTGCACCCTGAGAATGAGAACAGGGCCACCCGGTCCAGCTTTCCATTCTCCCCTCTGCCCTTCGCCATCCCTTCTGGGGGTCTCCTGAGACTGGTATGGTTGGGACCATGAAGGAAACTGACCTCCCCACAAAGGGAGGAGCTAGAGGGAAATGCATGGAATTTCAGAGCAGCAGGCAGGGGGTCCCTTAATCCAAAAAACACCTCACCTCCTGTTTTTACCAGTGGGGAAACTGAGGCCCGGGATCACTGCCACTGGGGTGCTCATCCTGGGCAGGTCATGGGGGAACATTTTTTCAACCGGCCCCAAACGAAATGGGATTTGATGCCCTGTGAGGCCTCCCTCTGCCAGTCTCTTTCCTGTTTGCTCCCCACCCACCCCATCTCCTGCTTCTCCTATGGGAGGTCATGGCCTCTCGGTGCACCCCGGAAGATGCCTAAGATTCCTAAGTGGAGGGATGTGAAGACCTGATCCCTCCATGGACCCACAACCTAGACCACTCTAAGCCTCCTGTTACCTAAGGGATCCCATGGTGGCTTTGGTGTCGCTGTCTTCTGAGATGGCCTGCACACCAATGACCGTAATCCTCACGTTGACATTACCGGAGGCCACTCTGCCAGGTACAGGTAGACCTTAACCAATAATCCTACTTAATGCTCACAACAACTCCACGTTAGCTTCCATCTTACATTTAAGAAAACAAAAAGAAAAGAGCATAGAAGTTCTGGAGTCAATAGACTTGGCCCTGAGGCCGTCTCCCTCCCTGGTTACCTATCAGACCTTGGGCTCCTGACCAATATGACCCTTTGTTTCCTCCTCCATAAGAACGAGATGAATAGCAAGCTAGTAAAGTCCTTGTAAGGATTAAGTGAGCTAATGTTTACAGACTATCTAATAAACAGTACATACACAACAAATATTTGCCTTCATCCTTCTACCTTTCGCTCAGTGCCCTGTAGACAAGAGTCCCAGCCCCACAGGCCAGGGGGTAGGTGGGGAGGAGCTGGGGCCCTGGTTTGTGGGTCCCACCCTACGCCCCATGGTAGCCTGTTCTTCTCAGTTTGCACCTGGGTGAGTAGCAGCGTCTGAAGTTGGCTGTGTGTGCCTGACACACTTTGGTCCATCTTATTGCAACTTTCCAGTGGCTACTTCTCAATTATGCCTACCCCTCTGTAGAGGGATCAGAGTGGGCCCAGAGCAGCCCACCATGCAGCTGGGCAGTGCCTACAGGCCCTGTTGCAGCCCTCCTCCCTCCTTGGAAGCACATTCGCCCACAGGCCTCAGTGGCTCCATTTCTCCCAGAGAAGAACCTCTGCAGTACGTGTGTTCTTTAGAAAGGCAGGCTGGGAATGGCGAGGGACACGTGCTTGGGAGCCCAGTTCCAAACTATAAAAAGACTGTTTAGTCTCAAATGTTTTATCTTTGATAAAGCTCAGGCTTTGGACTCCATGTCCTCTCAGGAAAGGAGACGTTCCATGCAGGATGGAGCCAAGGGCCTAGCATGCCAAACTCAGGGCTGGTTCTCATCTACATTTCCCTCCTGCTGCCCCCAGGAAACTGCAGGTCCATCTCCGGCCACCCTGGCCTGGAGCAGGGCTCAGCCAGCCACGTCCGGAGCCCGGAGGGTCACAATGGAAGCAGGAGAGGAGCAGAAGGGGAGGGTTCCTCCAGCATTTGAAGCCAGGGCTTGGTCTCAGGTGTCCCCAGACTCCATCCCCTGCCCTCGGGTTATCACTGGAGTATGCAGATGCAGGAGTAGCCCGGGCAGTGGTAGGGAGAGTGGGGTGATGTCTGCAGAAGCCAGGCTGCAGATCAGTCAGAGTGGACTCCTCCCTCTCGAGTCCCAAGCTCAGCTCAGCCTCAGCAAGGAGGGAGGTTCGCGGTGCCACAAAACCGATTACCTCTAAACATCTACTCTGTTCAAGGCTGGATGTGTCTGGACAGGCGCACAGCGGGAGTTCAAGGAGCTCGCGGGGCATGTGAGTCAGGCCTCATCACTCAGCTGTCCCTCCGGGGGCCGCGCTGCAGGCTCTGATGAGGCTCCAAGGCCCCCACCCCCCTCACCAGCGGCCTCATTGTTCTCCCCTGGGGAGGATGGCGCCGCACCCCCACCGCCCGCCCCCACATCCTGCCCCCAGACAGCACAGCCCAGCCCAGCTGCCGAGCTTCGAGCTTCGCGGAGGGCCAGGGAGGGGCCAGGAGGGTGGATTTCAACTGTTCGGTCCGGGGAACCCCATTCGGGCCGGCTGTCGTCTCACAAGAGGAAAAGGGAAGAGGCTGGTGCCGGGAAAAGGGAAGGAAGAAGAACGCCAGGGTTAGAAGAGGGTGTCGAGGCGGGGATTTCAAAGCTCAGACCCTCCAAGCAGATGCCACAGGCCCTTGGGATGGAAAGGCCCAGATAGGGGGCAATGGGCCCTGCACAGTGACAGGTAGGGAATCGACACACAGACCCTTCTCACATGGACGCTGTCCTATCAAGTTGGTGGCTCTGACGTATGACTGTCCTGGGAGGTCAGCTGGGCAACACAGAGGATGCGGCTGAGACAGTTCAGCCACTCCTGGACTCAGGAAACTGAGGGTACCCTGATCCTTGGGGGCCTGGGCTCTGGTTGTACCAACACTGGCTTGGCTGCATGAACCTGCATTTATAAGAAGGAGGTCATGCGTTGGGACGCGTGAACTCTTGGATGTGCTTGTCTGTGGGCATGCATGCTCCACGGGGGAGGGTACGTGTGTGTATCTGCACACACACACATTGGAGCACTGGCCCATTAAGAAGTTGCAGACTTGGGGTGGGAATTTAGCTCAGTGGTTCTGCCACCTGCCTTGCAACTGCAAGGTCCTGAGTTTGATCCCTGGTACCAAAAAAAAAAAAAGGAAGTCGAAGACTTGCTCCAAGCCTCCACCTATTATACAGACAGAAGCTCTTTGGGAAAAATGAATAGCTTCACCCAAATGTCACCCTTTAGGTTGGGAGACCTTGTTTGGCTGAGTTCCTTCCTTGGCCTCTGGTCTCTCTTCTGATCTGTCTCTGGCCCCCAGGGAGGAGAACAGTTTGCCCAGTGATGTTGTATTAGGGTCTAATCTGTGGCTGAATTGGATACCAGATGACTGAACACAAAACCTGCTCCACCCTATTGCCCTGTGATCCCCACAGGCTCCCATACTCAGAGGGCACAGGCTTAATTCTTTGATGTTGCCATATTGAAATTCTTCCTATCCTTTAGACATTTGCTGTTGCTGCTCTCCACTGAGAAGCAAGAGGACCGAGAGGCTCCCAATGTCATCCTGGAGCCTTCCCCTGGCAACCCTAGGATACCCAGAGGGGCTATGTGTCCTCTCTGGGCTGGTCACACCATGATGGGGGTCCAAGGCAGAGGGAGGTGAAGAGGTGAAGCTGACCAGCTCTCAGCCAGGCAGAGACCATGTAGGTCACATTATTTTTATTGTGTATGTTTCATAATACAACTTGCCCTGATACGTGGACACACTGGGAAGTCATCGGCACAGTCACGCTAATGGACGCATCCATCACCACACAGTTCCCTGGGGCAGGGCGCTTAAGATCTACCCCCTGCAAAGGTGGGGAGTGGAGCCCTGTCCCCAGCCATTGCTGTGTCCTGTAGTCACCTCTCCTGCAAGGTGGCGTCCTCTGAATCCCTATGGTATTTTGTACACACTCACTTGGCAATGCTCCAGAGCACTGAGCTCGGGCCTGGCCCCGTGCCTGCCTGTATCATCACCCAGCAGAATTAAGTGGCTGTGTGACCCCAGTCATGTCACTTCACATCTCCAAGCCTCTGCTTCTCATCTGTAAAGTGGGATCATAACAGTACTTGCCTGACAAGATTGGGAAGTATATGAGTTAATAAATCTAAAAACACACTGCCCAGTGTGTTATCATAGCTAGCTAATTGAATTATAATTATTTATATAGAATGATATCTTTTTGATCATGAGCTTCTTCAAGGCAAACACTTAATCTTAGTGGATCCTCCTATCTTAGAGAGGTACCTAAGAAATAGGGTGTTCGATAAACATTCAAATAAATGCATTAAAGGGCTGGGGTGTGGCTCGGTGGTAGAGCTCCTGCCTGGCATGCAGGAGGTCCTGGGTTGTCCCTATCACCATACAATAAACAAGGAAACAAACAAAAATGCAAAACCAAAACAGTGCATCACAGATAGTGATGTTGCCCTTTCTTGACCTCTGTGCCCTGTGGCTAGTAGCTTCCACGCTGCGGAAGTCCTCTTCCACCTCAGATTTGTTTATCCTCCACTGTGGAGTAAGACTTGGGCTCCACAAAGAGCCTACTGAGTGCTTGGCTCCAAGTAGTGCAGCCCTGGAGCACAGTGCTCAGGGTGACACGTCTTCCAGAGAACGGAAGTGGTCTCCTCCAAAGAGCTCCTCTAGCACCAGGATGCCCATCCTGCTTCTCCTGGGTCCTCTCGGGTTTCTGGGTGGGGCCTTCGGGCTGCTGTAATGTGCAGTGCTGACCCCCTTCCCCGAGCTGGGTATGACGAGAAGCAGGGCAGCCAGTGTAGAAAGAGCCCACCTGGGGATTCCCTCCACCACAGAGGCCCAATTGACAGGCTAGTGGCCACCGAGACCATTTAGCACTCAGAGAGCCCTTGCCAGAATTCACCGTCACCGTGAGAGGCAAGGGATGGGGAGGAGAGGGGGGGAATGCAGAATTTGGAATCAGGGGCCCTGGTTCAGTGAAATGAACAGCTAGGTCCCCTCCAGCCCTAATGATCTTCACTGCCGGAAACTGTGTGCTCAGCACAGTGCTAGGCTTGGCGGGTGGGGTGGGGACAGACCGAGTTTATGGTGTTGCTGGGAAAGGATTGTTTAC